ACTTTTAAAAAAAATTCAAAATCATATATAACATTTAGTTTTCATTTCATCTTAGTATCTCGCCGTTAAAAAACTTAATGCGTTTAGTACCTAAACTATCAGTTTTGTTCCGTTTAGTACCAAAACTTTCAATCTTTTCAAATTTAATATTAAATTTTGAAGGAGTACCAAAATGAAACAAAAACTAAAGTTTTTAAAGACATGTACTAAAATAAAACAAAAACTAAACTTTAAGTATGATTTTAAAAAACTGAAAGTTTAAATATTAAAATAGATAAATTGATAGTTTAGGTACTAAATCCGTAGTTTATTCAAGAAAAAACAAAAGTTAATGCTCGTTTACGGTCAAAAAGCGAAGCAGTAGAAGCATTGGGAAAACGAGTGGCGATGGGCTGTGCTGTCCCACGCTTGGGGTATCATGTTCTGTAAAAAAAAAAGAAGCTTCCAACAAGCTTTTGAGGTTCCAGGGGAATGAATGCATTGTCCTTAACTGGTTAGGGCCCTTGCTTTAGCAAAATTCACGTGCTTGGAAATTTCCTACTTCACTAGCATCAACTATAAGGAGCAGTGACAATGATTCCCACTACCATAGTTAGGAATCAACTGTTATTTCATGTGCATTATGGAACAAAATTCCACACTAAAATGGAACCCCACAAATTTGACTTATTCAACCAATACTAGTGGCGGAGCCACGGTTCGGTGATGGTAGACACTTAGTCATTCAAATTTTTTATTAATTATTTATTTTACGGATAATACCTATTTTGAAATCTGAATTTTTGTATATTAATTATTTATTTCACTAATAGTATCATTCTAAAATTTTAGGGTAAATTATACCAGTGACCATCCAACTATAACCCGTTTCCATTTTGACCATCATTTTTTAATTCTTGTCAATCATGCCACCCAACTATTTAAATGCATTCAATTAAGCTACTAGCTGTTAACGGTTAACAGAAATGATGATGTGACAGCTAGTAAAATTGATAAAATTACACATTTAGTCACTGATACTTATATATTCTAACAATTTTGTCATATTGTTAACAAATTAAATAAAGTTAATATTCGAATCAGATCGTGCCACGTGTCATCATTCGATTGGAGGATTTACTTTACTTTAATTTAATAATTTTATTTGTACCGATCAGAGAGTGACACATGTCATCCTATGGTGGAAATAAAATTAAAGAAGTTGAAATGGGGGAGCAAAGGAGTGGGAAGGCAACAATTTAATCACCGAACCAAGCAACCCCTTTGGGTTAAAACATACTACAAATGTTATATATACTAAATATAAGAGTGACATTTGTCACCATCTGGTGGAAAGAAAATTAAAGAAGTTAGGATAAGAATAAAATATATATATTTAATGGTTAGATGTTAATTTAATTCATATGTGAGTTTAATTTAATATATATAAAATAATAAAAATTTAAGGTTAAACTAGTATTTAGTAACTTCTTTAAAAATATATATTAATGACTAAATGTATAATTTTACCAATTTTACTAACTTCCACATCATCACTTCTGTTAACTGTTAACGGCTAGTTGCTTGGTTGAATGCATTTAAATAGTTGGGTGGCTTGATTGACAAGAATTTAAAAATAGTGGTCAAAATGAAAAGAAACTATAGTTAGATGGTCACTTGTATAGTTTACCCAAAATTTCATTATAATTGTTTTCGCTTGCAAGGTATTATTTGAAGTTGATATCAAAGTTGGGTGAAGCTTTCTCATCACCAGACAACCGATAAGATGGAAATCTAATGTTTTTAAAATTGGACCAGACCTTGAACCGGTAAAAGTACTGGTTCAATCGGATTCAACCGGATTTTATATAAAATAATATTTTTTTAATTTTAATTTTTTTTGGATGAGTAAATTATATTCCATCAAAAAAAAAACCACAGCTTAGCTGCTACAAAATGATATGTCACAAACTAAAACAGTTCTCAGTTTATGTACAAGAATCTATTACCATCATCTACTCTATGTAAACTAAGGTCATATAATTTTGATTTCACTGCCTCCTTAATTCTTTTTACAATTACCTCACTTGAGCTTGAGATGCCTCTAAAATGCATATAATTACGCTCTTCCCAAATATAATACAAAAAACCAGTCCAAGCAAGTTTTAGAATCCGTACCCGAAAAGTTTTACCCTTCAGGTTTCCAACCATCCAGCTAAGGCGTTGATCCCAGGTAAGAGCAGCACAACGAGTACCACAAAGGCTTAGAACAGTGTTCCAAACATCCATAGCAAAAGGACAAGCAGCAAATAAGTGATCCCTTAATTCAGAGTCTGAACCACATACCAAACAAGCAGCATCAACAACTAAACCAAAACGGAAAAGCCTGTCTTTAGTTGGCAGCCGATCGAGGATGGCCATCCACGAGATTAAGAAGAATTTGGGAATATAAGACAGGAACCAGATAAGCTTATGCCAACTCACCTTCTCCCTTCTAACTCTAATACAGTCCCATACTCATTTGCCTTTAATAAGGCGCAAATTAGTACCAGGAGGAAACAGATTACTCGCAAGATCTCGCAGCCTCAAAAGTTTAGCTAAAATCCAGTTGTAGTGGGGTTTACAGACTGCTTCCCAATAATTCGCAGATTGGAAACAATATTAAAAAACATATATAAGTTAAAAAACATAAAATTAAGTGAAACAAAATGATTAAAATCAACTACAATATAATATTTAAGCTAAAACATATTAAATAATAAATATAATTATATAACTATAATAAAAAAAATTAGGGTTGAAAAAAATCATAATAAACGATGTCGTTTGGTTTAATTTTTTTTAAAACAATACCACATGGCTAAGAAACATAGAAGATCATCCCAAAAGTTTAAAGAGTAAAAATATGAGAACAAAACAATCTCACATGGCTAAGAAACATAGAAGAACATCCCAACTTAATTCTATAAATACTAGAGGTAATTTGACATTCAAAATCATGGAGCCTTTTGGCGAGTACAGAGCGAATTATTCTTTAACTTCAATTGAGCTCGAATTTCAGGCTTTAATCGAGCTTCTAATTTTTTTTTGAGTTTGAATCTTTTCGAGTTCAAGTTTCAATATTATATTTCGAGTTCGAGTTGAACTTGATAATTTTTAGCTCGTGAGTTTTTGAGTCGAGTTGAGCTTACTTTTAAAGTTTTCGAGTTCGAGTCGAGCTCAACAGTACTCGAGTTTGACTCGGCTCGTTTAACAAATGACGTCGTTTGGTTTAAATTTTTTTTAAAGAAAAAAAAGAACCGGTTGTTCACACCGATTTTTCCGATTTTCAACCGGTTTTACCGGTTCTGTGCTCATCCAGTTTTGGAAATTAACCGGACCGGACAAGTCACCAGTTCACAGTTCAACCGGCCGGTCCGGTTCGGTCCAATTTTAATAACACTGTGGAAATCAGATCCCATATTACAAGTGTTGAAGCTTTTTGGACTCAGTGCCCCGCCGGTCCCCTTTGGATTGGATGATTTCATATCTCAATCATAGATTATCTATTGGTATCCCTTTCACATTGACTAGAGAGTAGACTTTTTAGCACTGATATTTATCATCATGTTTTTAAGGTTTAATTAGAAAATAAATGTATAAATTATACACTTTTTCTAAATATAGGTGTTTAAATTTTTTTTTATTCATCCAAATACTTAACATTATAAATATTATTACTTTAGATGCTCTAATCGTAACATCCATTAAAAAAATTCATGAAGTAACATATATGATAATTTTATTTAAAAAATATATTATTATATTTAAAAACCCTAATTTCTCCCTAACATGATCAATCATGTGACATTGCAATTTATAACGTCGGAAGATGGTAGTTTAGGAGTTAAAATTAGGGTTTTCAAAATTTTAGATTTTTTTAAAGTATTTCGATTTTTTTATTTTTTTAAATATAATAATACTTTTAAAATTTAAATAAAAAATTTAAAATTACCAAAATAGAACACATATCCTTTAATGATAAAAATTTAACGATCATTATAATCGATGCACATAAATTGACAACATTTATAGCGTTAACCACTTAAACAAATAAAAAATTTAAATACCTTTCTAAAAAAATATATAATTTGAACACTTGTTTATTTTCAATGTCCAATAATTTTTGCATTTATTAGACGCGGCCCATTTGGCGTCACACGTCAAACGGTCACCTCTTGCAATTACTCTTCCGATTTTTGGGGTTAAATTAGCTATTTGATCAGCACATATTCTCACCTTTCTATTTTGATCATTTAACTATTTTCCTAAAATTATAATTAATAATTATTTTTTGTTTCTATTTTAATTACTAGATATTACATATTAACCGTGTAAATAATACACTGCTTTCCATGAACATGTAATGTACCCAGAGAGGGAGGATCTTAACCATTAACTATGCATTCTTTTTGTTTTAAGTACCTTAATTAATATTTGGTCAAACGAAGCCCTTAAAATATTATATTTGATCATGTTAAATCCTATCATTTTTTCATTTTAATAAAATATTTTTAAACCAATAAGATGTTGACACGTCATATAAAATTAGATACTTGTTTTGACTAAAAAGTAATTTAGAGGTTAAAAGCAAAAAAAATGTCATAATATAGGAACTTGTTTTAACCAAAAAATAGTTTAAATAGTTAAATTGGTTACATATAATAATTTAAGGACTTAATTTGACTAAAATATAATTGAAGTACTTAAAGTAAAGAAATGACATAATTTGAGTAACTTTTTTAGATTAAGCGATAAATGACATCTATGTATGGGCCAAAAAGCAATGTGAATAAAACTTCCGCTTTTGAGTGTGGGAATTTTAAAATTTACGAACCATTTCGTCAAACAACTTTTTAAACAGCAGCTTCATTATTGGCGTTTTCCCGGTGTAAGGACATCATCTTCCCCAAAAGCTAAGGACCCACTTTACTGCACAACTTTTCCCTCCCTTAAAAAAATCCTTTCTTCCATGCCATGCCCGCCTCATACATACACTCTCTCCGTAAATTGAATTCCACACTCCACCAAACCAGAAGCCGAAACAATGATTCTGGTAATCTTGCTGATGTTCTTCAACGCTTTGCCGCACGCTTTTGCCCTCAACCAGGAAGGTCTGTACTTGCTGCAAGCCAAGCTAAGCCTTTCCGACCCAACCGACGCCCTTTCCTCCTGGAACAACCGAGACGACACTCCTTGCAACTGGCGCGGCATTTCCTGCAACTCACTCACTGGACGAGTCGAATCAGTTACCCTTCCCGACTCTGAACTCGCCGGACCCTTTCCGCTTTTTATCTGTCGTCTCCCTTCTCTTCACTCCGTATTGCTCGTCAATAACTCCATCAATTCATCACTACCCGTTGGTATTTCCGAGTGTCGAAATCTAACGACCCTCGATCTCTCACAGAACCTCCTTGTTGGGTCTTTACCTCACTCCCTCGCCACGATTCCCACACTGCAAAAGCTGATCCTTTTCGGGAATAACTTCTCCGGTGAGATTCCCGCGAGTTTCGCACAATTTCAACGCCTCGAGTATCTGAATTTGGCGGGAAATCTCCTCGACGGAGCCATTCCTGCTGCCCTTGGAAACATTTCGACTCTCAAAGAGTTGGACCTTGCTTATAACCCCTTTTTTCCTACTCATATTCCGAGTGAACTCGGTAATTTAACAAATCTCGAGCAGCTTTTTCTCGCGAGTTGTAATATTGTCGGCCAAATTCCCTCGAGCTTCGGTCGTTTAGTTCACCTTCAAAACCTTGATTTGTCCTTGAATCGGCTCACTGGGTCGATTCCTAGTTCAATTTCCGAGTTGAAAAGCATTGAGCAAATTGAGTTGTTTAACAACTCTCTAACCGGGGAGTTGCCGTTAAACATGGGGAATTTAACTACGTTGAAGAGGTTCGACGCGTCCATGAATGAGTTAACTGGGGCAATTCCGGCTGGCTTATGCGGATTACAGCTTGAGTCATTGAATCTTTATTACAACAGGCTTGAAGGGGCTTTACCGCAGAGCATAACTAGGTCGGAAACGTTGCACGAGCTGAAATTGTTCAACAACAAACTCAGCGGATCACTGCCGAGTCAACTTGGTGCAAACTCACCATTACAAAGTTTGGATTTGTCTTATAATCGGTTTTCTGGAGAAATTCCAGAGAACTTGTGCGCAAAACGGCAGCTAGAGGACATCATTTTGATTTACAATTCATTCTCGGGCAAAATTCCAGAAAGTCTAGGCAGATGCACGAGTTTACGCCGGGTCCGGTTCAAGCACAATCGTTTCTCGGGTCAAATTCCAGACCACTTTTGGGGACTACCCAAAGTATTTTTGCTCGAGCTTGCTGAAAATTCCTTTAGTGGGAAAATTCCAAAGACGATTTCAAGTTCTCATAATCTCTCTATTCTGTCAATTTCCAACAACGGATTCGCCGGATCATTGCCAGATGAAATCGGGTCATTGGAGGCACTAGTAGAGATGTCTGCTAGTGGAAACGGGTTCACGGGTCAGGTTCCTAGATCGTTGGTGAACTTGAGCAACTTGGTTAAGCTCGATCTTAGTGAAAATAAGATCGATGGAACGATCCCCGAAGGAGTCAAGGGGCTGAAGAACTTGAATGAGTTAAATTTGGCTAACAATAGGCTATCTGGGAGTATTCCTAATGATATTGGTAGCTTGCCTGTACTTAATTATCTTGATCTTTCAAGTAATTCATTTTCTGGGGAAGTTCCAATCGAGTTGCAGAATTTAAAGCTGAATGTACTTAATCTGTCGAATAATCAGCTTTCTGGAGAGCTCCCTCCTCTTTATGCCAAGGAAATTTACCGGAACAGCTTCGTCGGGAATCCAGGATTGTGTGGTGACTTGGATGCTCTTTGTCCAAAGATAAGTCGATCTAAGAACGAGAACTCTATGTGGATTCTTACTTCCATTTTTATACTTGCTGGCCTGGTTTTTGTTCTAGGGGTTGTTTGGTTCTTCATTAAGTACCGGAGTTTCAAAAAGATCAAGAAAAGTGCTACCATAACAAAGTGGAGATCATTTCATAAGATCGGTTTTAGTGAATACGATATTGCCGGTTGCCTCAAGGAAGAGAATGTGATAGGAAGGGGAGCTTCCGGCAAAGTTTACAAAGTTCTGCTTAGTAATGGTGATGCAGTGGCCGTGAAGAAAATCAGTGGAGGAGTTAAGAAAGGGGATTCCTTGAGTGCTGCTGATACAGAGAGGGATGAGTTTGAAACTGAAGTCGAAACGCTGGGAAAAATCCGACACAAGAATATTGTCAGGCTGTGGTGTTGTTGCAATGCCGGAGATGGACAACTTTTAGTTTATGAGTACATGCCAAATGGGAGCTTGGGGGATTTGTTGCATGGCAGCAAAGGGGGATTGTTAGATTGGCCAACTAGGTACAAGATTGCTTTAGATGCAGCCGACGGATTATCCTATTTGCATCATGATTGTGTTCCCCCGATTGTTCACCGGGACGTGAAGTCGAACAACATATTGTTAGATGGAGAATTCAGTGCCAGAGTTGCAGATTTCGGAGTTGCAAAGATTGTTAAAAGAGTAGGCAAAGCTGCAGAATCCATGTCTGTGATTGCAGGCTCGTATGGTTACATCGCACCAGGTTTGTTCCTTGATCCTTTTTTTGATTGGTTATTTGTTCCTTAATGCTTTGTTTATTCATTTTTTTTCATTCGTTTGCAGAATATGCATATACCCTAAGAGTGAACGAGAAGAGTGACATCTACAGTTTCGGGGTTGTCATCTTCGAGCTGGTTACCGGTAAAACCCCGACCGATCCAGAATTCGGGGAGAAAGACATGGTGAAATGGGTCTGCTCTGCCTACAACCAAAATGGTGTGGAGCAAGTAATTGACCCCAGACTAGACTCTACCTACAAGGAACAAATTTGCAGGGTACTCGATATCGGTATCCTATGCACTAACGATTTCCCCATTAACCGCCCTTCGATGCGGAAGGTGGTCAAATTGCTGCAGGAAGCTGGCAAGGAGAACAAGTTCAAAGCCAGTAAGGACGGAAAGCTCTCCCCATATTACTGCTACGACGAGGAAGCCTCCGATCAAGCTAGTATAGTATAGTTCAATTAGTTGAATCTAGTAGTGGATCACACTAAAATTTAACTTTCCTCATGCTGGTGGGTTTCATTGGGGAGAGGGAATGGTGCAGTGACAAGAGGGGTGCCCACTTTGGAAAGTAAATCATACCAAGTAGTTTAGTGTTAGACCCACCATAGAGAGAGACATTGGACAATTGTACAATATTTGTTTTTGGCAGCAATGATTTCGACAAATATCGAGGAGTATAGCTCTACTGGTTGACTGAAAATATCAGGTAGCAGATACCGGAGTGGTCCGTCGATCGACGTTGCCGCCCTTCATAAGTGAATTGGGCCCTTTTGTCTCTCTCAATGTCTCCTTCATGGCTGTGGTTCTCAGAAGGAAATGATAGGATGCCTTTTGACTGTATACGTCTGTTATGAATGATGATGGACCTAAGCAAGGCATCTATCCGTCTTCGATTGTTTAGGGTTGCAAAAAAGTCTGTTGTTGAGAGTGACAGTGCCTGAACTTGTGGGTTTTTGTAGGTGTGTTCTCATTTATTAGCTTAATCAATGGAAAAGTAGCTAAAAAGTAGCTCATTTAATTCCAGACAAACTTTCATGATCCACGTGATAGATAGTTTAAATTTTTTTCATTAAATTAAGCATAATTTCAATTTTTGAAGGGGAAAAAAAACTTCAATAAACATGGGATAGTTTAGTAACCCTACCTAATTCCCACCCGGTGCTGATAGAGCCTCTTTCTCCCCAAAATTCATGCAGACATTTGAGCTGAATGAATTGCAGTTTGTTGACGAGATTTTATTAATTTGGGCACCATGCCTGAATCTTATTATAGGCTATGCTCCCTCAATTATCCAGACCAGATTCTCCCACATCAAGTTTTTGGCTTTTGCATGTTTATATTTATGCATGCATGATATTGCTATGGGTCTATCATGTGTTTATTGGTAGATCGAGTTACTTTTGGGTTAAGTTTATACAAGATTTTAATACATTTCGTATTAAACGGCGAGTAATGTGAAGAGCAATGAAGGGAAGGAGTGGGTTACAAAAAATGAACGGAAAGAGGTACAATTGGTGAAATAATAAGAGATTCTGGAGCAAAGCTTAAAGCTGCGGTAAAGGATGCTCTCCGGGCTTGTTGATGGAACAAGAAGTTTAAATCAACTGTCGGCAGTTTATTCTTTCTAGTTTGGACGAAGAGCAGTAGCCGGTGATCGATCGATATCGGCCGGATATGTAAAGATATGGAAGCAAGGTACCAGAGGAATTGCTCTAGGGTGGAAGAAGGGGATAGTCTAAGTACCCTTTCTTGTTTATTATTGTGGTTCATATATTGCTTGTTTGATTGTTATGTATAGGTCGACAGGTGTATAACTGCATCCACCCATTAGAAGATTTAGTAGCGATAAATCTCTCGAGTTTATTAAAGGTCTTACCAAGAGTCTCGTCCAAGACTCTTTCTCTCTGGTGAATCCCTCCATAGGTGATATTAATAGGTCGACCGAGTGTTGTATTACCGGAGGTGAGGTTGCATCTTCGGAGGTATAACAAGACCGAAACCAAAGAAATAGTGAAACTGCATCATCAGTTTTTCACCAAGTTCAAAATCATAGGGAATGGATTTGCAGGTAAGTCCGAATACTAACGCACAAAGGTTCATACCTGCCATCTACAGGAATCATGTAGCATGAACTAAAAAGGGGTAAACTAAAAACATCATTCGACAACAGACAAATTCCTGTGCAGGACTTGGCATAATCAAATAACAAGTTCAACTAAAGATTGCAGAGGCCAATGCCCACATTTTTTTGCTGCAAACAGTCTAAGGAACAATTATCACGGTTCCAATTATCTATTCTTATATTGGCATTCGCTAGAAAAATGGAAAATTTCTATACCCGATTGCCAAATTTCAGTAGTGTGTGTATATATATATATATTCAATCCAAAACTTACCAGGCTAGTCGCTGTTCTTCTTTCTGAAAACATAAACATCGGTCTCATAAGCGTAATCAGGGTGCAAATCCTGATTCGGAACCTTATCGATCACGAAAACATTTTCACACATTTCCCAGAACAGTTTATCGGCTTCCGGTGATCTCAACTGGTACCCTAACAGAACCGCCTCATCGTCGGCAACTAAAGCCTCCATAGCCCCCACTAAATGTCCCACCGATTCCTCGATATAGACTACATCGGCCGCGATCACCAAATCGAACGGAGGATTAGCGGCCCTGATCTGATCCTCCTTGTTCCAATAAAGAACTGAATTCTTCAGGTTCTTCCCCAGAACGGGTTTGTTGCGTTTGAGGGCAGGCATGACTGGGGATATGTCGGTGAGGATGATGTCATGGAGACCCAGTAGGATGAAGGGCATGCCGGAAGCTCCACATCCGGTTCCTAGCTCGATGGCACGAAGGCGGAGGCTGTGGAAATCGAGGAGTTCGGAATAAGGGTTATTTGTGCCGGTGGTAGTGGGCAACGGCGGTGCCAATGCTCGAAAATTTGGCGAGGACTAGCGAACAAGGCCAGACGGAGGTGCCCACGTGGAAGGAGACATTGTCTTGTTGGATAGAGAGGTGAGAATCGCGCACTTGAAGCTCTACAACCGGTGAGTCCGTGAATTTCATTTCGGCTTCTTTCTCTGCTGAGTTAACTCGAAGCTCTGGTTTTACTGTTTTAATGTGAATTCTTTGAAAGGGCTTGGCATGTTTTCGACCCAATGAGATAATTGGGCTCAATCTCCATGTTACACTTTTATGGACTAAATTATAAGTTTTCGTCCCTAAACTTTTAAATTTCTTAAAATAATGCTTAAAGTTCAATTTTATTTCATTTTAGCATCTCACCTTTAAAAATTTTAGTTTTTATTTCATTTTAGTATTCCGTTCAATATTTAACGTTAAGTTTTAAAAAAATTGAAAGTTTATATATTAAAATGGACCAAAATTGATAGTTTAGGTACTAAACGCGTTAAGTTTTTAACGGCGGGCTACTAAAATAAAATAAAAATTAAACGTTAGGTATGATTTTGAAAAAATTGAAAGTTTAGGTACCAAAAAGATGAAAACTAACAGTTTAGGTACTAAATATATAGTTTACCCTTTTCTGTATTGGTCAAAATACGCTGTCAGTCATTGTACTCAGTAAAGTTTGAGATTTAGCTATTGTACTTTAAAAAATAAATTACCATACTTTGACATCAACAGAATCAACTCCTTATCTTTTAGCTGCCTTTTTGTCAAACTTGTAAAAGAAGAAAGAAAGAAAAAGCAGAGATGAGGAAGACGAAGATTATTTTAAGGGGGAAAGGTTAATATTAATGGCATAAATAAAAGATCAAAAGTTTTAGCTTTAACTTACCTTAGTTAGCCTACAATAAGTGTCTGGTTGCTTCATTATCTTGTTTTATTGCAGTAAACATATATATCAATGAGATAACATTCGTTTCACATCTTTTTAAATTATTTTATTCATTAACTTATTAGATTAGCATTCAAAATTAAGCCTAATTTAGAAGTTAGCTGAGGATTAAGACGCCTTCTGTTATCTTCCATGCTGGTACTATATTTCTTTTACTTCTGTACCTACGAAATATTAATGACAATGATCCTTTTTTATGAAATTATGTAGAAATTGCGAGTCAGCTCGACAATGAAGGTTCATACTTTTTCTCTTATTGGATGCAAAAAGTTCTTATTGAGTACAGGAGAGAAAAGAATAAAGCCTAAAGGCATTACATGATCATGAAAGTAGACTTTCATTAGAGTGCGTATATATGTAGGTCAATAATTCCAGGACCTACTTTTCTCAACCTCAAGCGACTTAGTAAAACCATGAAGAAGAAAAGAAAATGAAAAAGCTCTTGCATTCATGGCCTTTACTTGTCTTACATCGGAAGAATTTGAAGTTATATGGAGTTCAATTTAGTCACGGTCACTCTTACGAGTGTGTATCAGTAAGTTAAAGTTCGAATTTCAATATCTATAAACTATTTACCAAGTACAAATGAAAATGTGAGCACTAGAGGTCAAAATATGGGGCCTGCAATACTGTATTATCAAGTATATCACAAATAAGCCACAAAGTAAAACTCTTATCCATTTTCCACTTGTGTTTCCCATGTCTTTACTTGTGACTGATCCCATTGTTATTGAGAACATGAGAGAAAAGAATAAAGTCTAAAGGCATTACATGATTATGAAAGCTAGACTTTCATGTGAGAGAGTGTGAGTATATACTTTTCTCAACCTCAAGCAACATAGTAAAACCATGAAGAAAGAAAGGGAAATGAAAAAGCTCTTGAATTCAAGGCCTTTAGTTGTCTTATTTCGAAAGAGTTCGAAGTCACCCGGAACTCACTGCAGTCGAAGTCGCTGTTACGGGTATGTATCAGTAGGTTAAAGTTGGAATTTCAGTATCTATAAAACATTTACTAGTTAAAATTGAAAATGTGATTGAGTAGTAGAGGTCAAAACATGGGGCTTGCAATACTGCATTATCAAGTATCAGTATCCTGTTCGAATCACAAATAAGCCACAAAGTAAAACTCTTATCCGTGTTTCGGAAGACGGCTATCGGTTAGAGCAAAATCGCAACTGATAATTTAAGAAAATAAAAATGAAGATATAGAAGACAAAATTTACGTGGAAAACCCCTAAATAATATAGGGTAAAAACCACGGGCAACGGTAGAAGAATTTCACTATGAGAAAATAAAAATTACAATTTTTCTCGATCTAACAAGGAGAAAACAACTCTCAAGAAAACTCTCTAAATTCTCTAGTATCAGGAGAAAGCTAGAATGATTTGGGATGGTTTTGAAACTAAATGAGCTAGGGTATTTATAGTTGAAGCATAAGGACTAATTTGTAAATACCCTAAATTACAATGACTAAAATTAAGATTTTACCATTGCACATTTTTAACACAAAAATCGGTGCATTAATTAAACACTTTCGGTGCCTACATTTCCAGCCACTTTCGGTGTATTTATGCACCACCTAGCTTGACTTTTCAACAATCCGTTGTCCACTTGTGTTTCGCATGTCTTTACGTGTGACTGACCCTATTGTTTCTTTGGCATTGAATAAAAAAAGGCAGAGAAATGACAATTTTTTTCTTTTTCCCTTGCACATTTTACCTATGCATGAATATGACTTTGCTCCAAGCTCAGTTTGGTACTGGGGAAAGCATTGATGCTTTGATTCTCTCAATTTTGCTTGTAATAGTGCTGATCTTGTTAAGGTACAACTATGTATATGCATGGTTTGGTGAAGGGAAAGCTACCTTATATGTCGTACATTCTTCGTATATCTACCGAAAGTCACGTATATATTATAATTCTCTTACTTCTCGAACTTGAAGCCTTCGTAGTTCTTCGAGGCTTCCAAAACTCCATATCCTCTAACCAGTTATTGACGTGACTATAGTCAAATTTATTTATCATGTCAACCTATAAATAGTCTTGTTCACCTTAATCATAACACCAACATTAAATGTTTGTATATAAATACAAGATTAGAGAAAGAGGAACTCTCAATCTCTCTACTGTATTCTTTAACCGGTTGTCCCTCTTTCTTTCCATCTATCATCCAGTTTGTCATAAAAAAGGGTAAAGTATAGTAATGATCATTGAATTTTTATAAAGCTTGTATTTAGATCCCTCAATTTTTAAAACTTGCAATACAATCCTCTAACATTTAGTCCGTTTGCAATATGGTCCCTGGCGTAACTGGCCGTTCCACGCCGTTACACTGCCGTTAGTACGTTTGCAATATGGTCACTAAACTTTTCAGGCGCTTACATTTAGATCCCCCAACTTTTAAAACTTGCAACACAATCCTCAATTTTATTATAAACCCTAAATTGAAGTATTTTTAGAATTTGGAGTTTAAAATATAATTGAATTATTTTAGAATTTAGGGTTTAGAATAAAATTGAGGATTGTGTTGTAAGTTTTAAAAGTTGGGGGACCTAAATGCAAGCACCTGAAAAGTTCAGTGACCATATTACAAACGTACCAACGGCAGTGTAACGGCCCGTTACTTCGGAGACCATAGTGCAAACAGATTAAATGTTGGAGGACTGTATTACAAGTTTTAAAAGTTGGGGACCTAAATGCAAGCTTTAAAAAAGTTCAGTGACCATTACTATCCTTTACCCTAAAATCAAAGGAAGTTTAAACTTGCAGGATTTTATAAAAACATGACCGCTTTTAGGTCGACTTTGAACATCTACCGGATTCATTTATTGACCGGCTCCTCCTAGTAAAAGTAGAGGCATGCTCGTACCGACGTACATGTGTTTATTGTTAAGAGTTAAATTAGAAAAAAGTCATCAATATTACTTGAGTAACATCTCGAATTTAAGTCATCGTTATGTCCAAATTGATCCGGATATGTCCAAATTAATCAAAACGAAACCTTAAAACTGAAGGGAGAAAAGAAATCAAATTAAATTATGAATTTACAAGTAATATAACTTTTTAAGAAGTTAACAATATAATTAATTTCTAATTTAGAATATATAAATTTAAGATTATATATGTTTAAAAAATGATGTTTTAGATTTAATAATTTATTTACCAAACTTTCAGTTAAATCAAATATTTTATATGTTTTAATAATGTCAAGTGTTCTTGTATTGTTTTTGATAATATTATTTATAGAAGTAATATTACATTTCCATGAACCAAACATTGCTTAACCTAATTAGATGAATAAAATTTAATGGAGAAAGGAAAAAAATATAAAGTATTTTTTTAATTAAATCAAACAAATTAAATTTGAATGGATAAAATGAAGTTTTCTGACAAAATATGCTTTTACTACAAAATTTAACATATATCGATTATGAGCCCAATATTTGGCCCATCGGCCTGGGTTCACCTCGCCCACCCAAGCGTGCCTGTATTCAAGCCATTGCAGCAGTAGTTCAAAGAGTATTGACAAAGATGATATCAGCTTATGAAGATAATAAAACCAATAGCTCTTCTTTACCTCAACTAAACATATATCCAACTGATGGGGGTTTAAACCCTAATCCTCAAGACAAAATAAAAATCCTTCCAACTTCCATGAGATGACATTAAACCCTAGAGTTTGTCACCACACTGTTGTATAATAATGTTCCCACAATTGAATTATTGAACAAAGCATGAAATAAAGGTAAGAAGACCAAGTTAATTGGCGTGGGATTCAAGATCCATCTCCTGAAGGTTCAGCAGTAGATCCTTCGAGTTCAGGAAGACTTTGTTGGATGAATTCGCGATGGTCTGTGCAATTTCTCTAGAAGCTTCGATTTTCCTCAATGTGATGAATGCTGGATTCTTTGCAATTGCTTGACCAATGAGTTGGGCACTCTTGGCTTCTCCCTGGAAACCAGAAAAAAACAATTACTTTACAAAAGAAAGAATCAGAACATACAAGGCAAAACGAATTCTCACGAATTTCAGAGAGAAGCAGAAACTGACATCCACTTCTACGCTTTATATGTATATTCTCACCTGTGCTCGGATAACAGCACTTTTCTTGTCCTGTTCAGCTTTTTCCACGATGAATTTGGCTCTCTCAGCATCTTGTGCGGCCACCTGTTTAGCCTCAATTGCAGCAGTGAATTCCTTCCCGAAAGTCAGACTTGTAATGGACACATCATCAAGTTGAATGTTGAAGTTAGCTGCCCTCTCGGTCAAAATCTTCCGAATTTCCTTACTAACATTCTAAAACCAGAATAGTTCAACTTCACATGATTAATTCAAACAATTCTATTATTAGAGCATGGAAAATGCATGACAGGATATGTACCTCTCTCTGAGTAATGAGCTGGCTAGCATTGTATTGAGCAACAACAGCTTTCAAAGTTTCATGAATGATTGAAGGCAGGACCCTCTCATTGTAGTTCTGACCAACGGTTCGATAAATTTCAGTTAACTGATTTGATCTAGGGCGAGTGAGAACTCGAAGCCCAATCTTGACCTGCAGAGGATAGTTCAGAAGCAAGTTTAGCTTGTAATTAAGGCATTACTTGCTATAACATTTTTCTATTTTCAATTTCCACCTAATATAACATCGGAAGTGCACAAATGTTGTAGCATCAACATGGGAAAAGCATGCAAAATCCTCAAGGTTACTCCACTACAAAGTCATACATACTTGATCATTCAGGATGAAGCAAGGAACATCACTTTGGGGGTGGGAAGAGGAAAGGGAGGATAAAAAAAACATTTAAGCACTTATACAAAATATAGCAACTAATATATATTTTTAATTAATGTTGTTTTTCTAGTAAGCCTCGATGTAGAAATTGGTAATAATATATTCACTAGGTTGATTGAAGACGTACATTAATAATTTTAGGAGTTAAACACTATGCTACGGTTGCATTTAGAAATTTAGATTTTAAAAAGGTGGACTCGGATATAAAAATTATAGTAGTTGTTTGATAAAACACATATAATGTAACATTTATGAATATTTTTCAAATTCATGGATTTGTAGGAGAAATATTTAGTGCTGAATTTGAAATTTCTTTAGATATTTGAAGATTTATAAATTCATGTCTTTACCCGTTACAAATATATAATCATATTGAATCTAAACTAAATAAAATAGGTCAAATCCATGTCCCCCCCCCACCCCATTTAAGGAGTTAAACACTATGCATTTCATTTTCACATTTTTTATAGCAAAAGAAATCCAAACCCAATTTTCAAATCCATGCCTTCCCCCCCCCCCCCAAAAAAAAACTACCTTTATCTATCCAGGCATTACAGCTTGAGAACTGAGACAACATGAAAATAAAATAGGTCACAAATTTAGTTTTACCATCTGCAGATCACGACTCCCAGAAGTACTCTCAACTAGATGAGGTCTTGCACGGACATCATAAATGATAGGCCTCTCAAACCATGGTATCATAAGGTGTGTTCCCTCAGAATAAATCTGCAGAAACAAGAGTTAGCTGCATGACATACTGCTAGACAGAAGCCAAGGCAAAAGAGGCAAAACTTAAACAAGAATGTTAATAGGACACCGAGAAGAATTCTAGTCATGCAAGAAAGAATAGCACAGTGCTACCAGCTAATCAACTCCATATAGAAGCCATATCCATTGTTTATATGCAGAGTACTATAATATCCACAAACGACAAATATTGGTTAGGAGACACATTCCGATAAACATGCCAACTGGTAGAATGATGACCTTATCTTTGATGCCCAATATCCGATTGAAAACAATGGCTCTATGCCCTCCGTCAACATTGTAGAGACTATTGGCAACTCCATAGAGACCAAGCCCACCAATGACTCCAATCTTAAGCAGGGCAGGAAGAGCTCCACCTCCAGGCATCTTAGGAACTTTGAGGTTGTTGAGATTCATTTTACTCAATGCTGAAACATTGAACCATGGATGTCAAATTGCAGAAGAACCCAATGGGGAAAAAAATACCAAGCATCAAATAAATTTGGAACAATGAATAAGACAGATAAGGATCAACCAATTAACAACAGCTAAGAAACAAAAGATACACGTAATAAACAAAGAGAGCATGCCCATGTCAACATTAAACCAATGTAGGATAGATAATAGTTGGTAGAGCACAAGGTTCTTAACCTAGAGGTCGTGGGATCGAGTCCCACGGAGGGCATTTCATAATTCGGAGGTCTCCTACCGAAGCTGCTCTCAACCTGATGTTGGGGGCAACCTACTATCTTACTTCCCCTTACCTCATACATATGGTAAAAAAGGGACAGCCATTAACTTAGAAAGAACAACTATGCAAACACATAAATCTTTACAAGTGACAACCCAAAAATAAAGCTGACACCTAAAACTGTGTAGTGGAGACTGGAGAGTGTAAGAAGCAATATCTTTCAGAAAGAGGGGTAAGAAGCCAAACCATTTCCTCAACATGAAAATACAATATATTGACTCCACAAAGAACATAACACTGCCAAAACAAGTTAATTCGTACAATCTGTTGCTAAACAATCTATATAGACATAATATTTAAAGAAGATTTCCATTCATTTCAATCGGATTCGGTCAAGCATGTTAACATATCTATTCCAACATGGTCATCTACACGCCTACGCAAATTTGTAGTTAAGTAAAATGCAAATATGTTCGCCTCAACAACATAGAAAAAACAACAAAACCCACTCCTTACGATTTCAAATCAAACCACAAAAGTAAAATTAAAAAAAGAAGAAGCAAAAGAATAGAGTAAGACCCTGAAAGCTGACTACTACTTTTACAATCTAGCTCCAAAAGAACAAGATGTTTCCACATTCGACAGCGACGGCTAGCACTGCCTTGAACAAGAGATATGAGCTAATAGAAGAAATACAAAAGAGGGAAGCCGAAACCAGTAAGTTCAGCAACAAAAAGCTGATTTCTACACTTCCGCCCAAAATTTCTAAGCAAACAAGCGAAGAAAATATAAGCTAAAACTTTTTTCTCTGAAAAAATAATGAGAAACAAAGGATGAAGGCGCAGACCGAAATACCTGCAAAATGGTCAGCTGAACAGAGAGGAAAAGAGGGATTCGGGGGGTTAAAGAAAGGAAAAAAAGGGTTTAGGGTTTTATATTTTGGGTTTATGGTTTATGGATCCGACCCGATAGTGGGGTTATCAAATCAAAATAGTTAAATTAATTAATTAACTATAATTTTAAAATTCAAAATATTATTTTGAGTAAATTATAAGATTGATCAATTTCTTTTAATATTTGACATTTTTCTCACTTAATTCAAAAATTTAATTTTTAGTCACTTGTATTTTTTATTAAGATTTGGTCACTAAAACAAAATTATCGTTAATTTGATGACATGATATATTAAGTAAAAAAAGTTTACTTTTATTTTAATCCCTATATTTTTGATAAAATAGTTATTATTTTTGATAAAAACAAATTTTATCTATCCAAGAGTAGCTGAACTGCTACATATAAACAAGTATTCAATATGCAACTCAACCCAAAAACCTATTCCAACTAAGGCTGTAATGAGACAAGACAGATCGCGAGCTATTCAATATTGACTCGATCAAGGCTCGATAAATACTCGGATCGAATAGACTCGAGCTCGAGCTCGACTCGAGTTCTTAACGAGCTGAAACGAGCTACTCGATATTCGACTCGAAAAGCTCGTGAGCAGCTCGAAAATATAATATATTAAGATTTTATTTAAAAAAATAAATTAATAATAATAATATTATTTATTTATTGATTTTTTTAAAAAATACAGTAAAATTTCATGTATTTAAGGTTCATGTTCGAGTTCGAGTTTGAGGCTTCATTCGAGTTAAGTTTAAGATTTTTTTTTCATTTCGAGCCTTTTCGAGCTGCTCACAAACTTCAGTTCAGGATTTCGAGTTCGAGTCGAGCTTGAAAATTTTAAGCTCGCGAGTTTTTGAGTCGAGTCGAGTTCTATTTTAGAGTTTTCGAGTCGAGTCGAGCTCAGCAATACTCGAGCTCGACTCGGCTCGTTTACACCCCTAATTCCAACCCAGTACCCCTATACTAAGCCAATAATCTAAATCAGATTCTACTCTATGCACAACTTGTTATTAATTGAGCTTAGTTTATTAATTAACTGTGTCGTGACTCATGATCACCGCTTCCAAGGTAAATGATCAAGTTTACACAATCTGCAACAGAACGGTGAGTAGGGACTTGCCCTTAAGCCTGCTGATCGCCCACTTAAACGTAATGTCCCAACCCCTAACTTGTCGTTGCAGTTTGCAAGCCACCAAGATCTTTGTCCAAATCTCTTTCGAGGTTGAGTACCTGAAGAACACATGATCTCTTGTCTCGTGGTCCCCTCCGCACAAGATTAGGGGTGTGCATTTCTTGATATCCGAAATTATCCCATCCGAAATCTCGGACATCTAAAAGTTCGGATCCCTAAAATTGTGATCAATATTTAATTTGAGAAAATTGAATTTTCGAATATCCAGATCCGAATATAATTATAATTTTATAAAAATTAAAATTAATATTTTTGTGATTTTATATATTAGTATTATTACTTTTTACTATTATGTATTTACACGTTTTTGTAGTCAAATAATGGTAAATTTTTGCGCTGTTATTATTAATACCAAGTAAGGCAATATATTATAATCGTAAATAATATTACTATATATCTGTTAAAAGAGTTGAAGCTTTCATTATTAATTCACAGATTATTTTCCTGTGCTTTATTATTGAGGGGAGGGTTGTTTTGAGCATAAAATTCAATCCGTAAAATATTATGATAAGAAACTCGTCACGTTAAGGTGATGATTTCTAATCAAATATAACTTTTATTAAATTTTATCATATCGAAGTCAAAAGTTTTGAATAAAAACATATTTTTATTAGAATTTGTAATCTCAAAGTGATGAGTTTCGGTCACTGTATCAAATACTATAGATCCCAAAATAAACTTTTATCTACTTATTGGGCTAAATAATAAACCAGTTTGCTTTATTGGGCCAAAAAAACTGTTGTTTGATATTATTGGGCCTGAGTAAAATAATTTATAGTCTCAATTTTTTTGATTTTCAGATAATCCAAAATTAAATTTTAATCGATCCGTATTTGATCTGATTATTTTTAGATATTTGATTTAAACTATCTGAAAATTTTAAAAATGAATCGGACATCTCAATTTTCGAATTGGATTGACAGATCAACGGATCGGATTGGTAAGATCGATTTTTTTTAACATCCCTACACAAGACCTCATCTAGTTGAGCGTACTTCCGGTAGTCTGTGATCTCCATACGGTAAAAGGCTAATCTTCAATTTTCACCGACTTTCCAACCATCATTTTCTCATTTCTTTTGAGTTCTGTCAATCTAATGCGATACTAGTTGGGGATTAAAAGTTAAAATCTTGCCGTATTTTATTTCTGCGCTGTATCAAAAGTCATTCCCTAATGCTTGGTGTGATCAAGGTAGTTATAATCCAACGTGAGTGTGTATTTGTAAAGTATAAAAACCTGAATTTAAAATCTACAAATATCTACATGAATTTTAAATTTACCCCTAAATATGCGTCCAGCAAATCCATGAATTTGGAAAATAACGATAGATGTCACATTTATGTGTTTTGTATATTTTTTTATTGCTCTTAGTTTCAAGACTTCGTCTTGACTAATCCGAATTGACTTGCGTCGTAAACCTGAATTTGGGACGAGTTTCTCAGTAGGGATTTTCTAAATATACAAATACTCGAACTTGAGACCTTATTTAAATGATATCAAATTGGTTACTACTTGAATTATTCAAGCTCTGTTGGTTAAAAATTAATTTTGTGAGTACACGATATTAATTAAATTCAAATGATATTATTACGAGTACAATTGTTTTTATAACACTAACTGTTGTTAAATTTGTTTAGCTTACGCATACGCATTCATATTACATGCCCCAAATTCAGGCCCTGCAACTGTCCTTTGCATCGGCCTTGCCCATGATCTTGAAATCGGCTATAGAACTCGACCTGCTGGAGATCCTGGCCAAAGCCGGTCCGGGGGCTTTGCTGTCCGCGAAAGAAGTGGCTTCCCGGCTCCCCAGCAGCAACCCTGATGCGCCTTTCATGCTGGACCGCATGTTTCGTCTGCTATCGAGCTACTCCTTCCTCACCTGCTCCTTGCGCACTCTTCCCGGCGGCGAAGTCGAGAGGCTCTATGGTCTCGGCCCCGTCTGCAAATTCTTGATCAAGAACGAGGATGGTGTCTCTGTTTCCACCTTATCTCTCGCTGCTCAAGACGTGGCCTTTATGGGATGCTGGTAACCATTTCTTTAATTTTTCTCATCTATTTAACCTGTTCCCACCCTATTACTATTAGCCTAGATTACATTAGATATCCTTCGACATTAAATTTTACGAGGCGTATCGTTTATACAAATGATTTTTTTTAATTTCCCTAATTATAACATTAAATTTTAGTTTTGACTTCAATTATAAAAATAAGTCATTAAAATTCAAATGGTGTGATGATATAAACAACGATATCGTTTAGTGATGTTATTGATGTCTAAGAAGATATCATTTTAGATACTGAATTTTATAGATGTATCGATTTTATCGCTAAATTTTTTAAACATTCATTTTTTTGGCGTTAAACTTTTTCGGCTACTACCTTTTATAACAATATTAGTATTAAAACATTCATATTTCACTCATCTTTATTTTTTTATAATTGATTTTTACGAAACTCGCCCAAAATCGACGAAATTAAATTAAAAAAATCCATCATTTTTATAGATTTGGAGGTTTTCTTAGATTTGAAAGGTTTGAAGTGTTTCTTTGAAAATTCAAACGGCGAGAAGCATAATTTCAAGAAGACAAACAACATACCTCAAAACTAGTATCATTAGAATACCATCGGAGAATCAAAGTATTAGCATGACAAATCTTTAAATGGATTTTCGTTGATTTTAAGTGAATTTCATAGAAAACCAATCGTATGAGAAGAATGAGGAGTAAAATGTGAACTTTTTTTTTATCTTAATCTTGATATGAAAAAGACCAATGATAGGCGGTAGTTGGCTGCCAACGACACCCGAAAAGGTTTTGTGCAAAAAAAACTAAACTTTTTAAAGTTTAGTTGATATACTCGTAAATGTCAATGCCTAAACAATGTCATTTTGGGCATCAATAACCTGACCAAAACGACATAGTTTTGTCCACATTATCAAAGTGACAAAAAGATTTGTTTGTCATCAATTATTTAAATTTAATGGATCAATTACATAATTGAAGTCAAACCCAAAATTAAAGATGACACCACCATAGGATTATCGGCCGTTGTTCTACCTTCCAAGCTGAACTATGGGAGGTGTTGGATGGGCTCACTCACTACATCAAAATTGTTCTATAACGGCATTTTTAGCGGCGTTTTGGGAGTAAATGCCACTAATTTTAAACATATAGCGGCGTTTACATAGAAAATGCCACAAAATTGTAACTTTAGCGGCGTTTTTATACAAACGCCACAATAGGTTCATCTATAGTGGCGTTTTTTTAACAAACATCGTAACAGAGTAGTACTTTAGCGACGTTTTTATACAAACGCCGCTATAGACTTGTACTTTAGTTGCATTTTTATACAACCGCCGCTATACACTTGTATGTTAGCGACATTTTTATACGAACGCCACTATAGACTCGTACTTTAGTGGCGTTTGAGTTTACAAACGCCGTAATTTTATAATTTTTAAGTCCCGCGCCCTTTAACCCTTTTTAGTTTTTCCCCCACATCCATTTTTCAATCCCGCCGTTTACCCAAACCCATATGCTTCACCGCCATTTTTATGCTATCTCTGATTTTGATTTCCTTATCCATATTTCCCCCAACTTTCAAATCATCGTTTTTCATTTTGCTTCACCAGTCGTTGTTCTTTTTATTTTGATTTTGATTTTAATTTCGTGGCTTTGGGTTCTGCTTTGGATTTTGATTTCGTGGCTTTGGGTTCTGCTTTGGATTTTGTACAGTGGCTTAATTTAGGGTTTCCTTAGCTTTTGAATGCAAAGACCGACTGACTTTTATGTGTCTTTGCAGTCAAGGTTCCGACGAATGCATATATGATGGACTTTGTTTTCTCCGAGAGGGAAGACGGTGGAATTT